GCAGCACATCGGGAAACGACTGCCCTGGATACGCCCCCTCTGTCGCAGTTTTGCACGACTGCCCCCACCTCGACACTCCACGTCAAGCCTCCGTCGATAGGTTGGGTATGTTCTCCAGCTCCCGGACTCTTTCCCCGCCTCCGATCGATTCTGCCTCTCCCAGACACCCTCGATTCTCCCCTCTCGCCAAGAAAACTGAGGCACAAACTGCTGACAAATCCACCCGGCGTTCATACGGCGAACGGACGTCCTTGAAAAATGTAGGCACTCCTAGACTACGTGGATAAACTGTGCCTCTGACACAGATATTAATATTTGTTTTTACTCCAATAGTGTTTAAATATGTTCTGACAAGTCGTTGGCATGGTCCACGCCTCAAATTTTGACGGCACAGGCCTGACCAGTGATTGTCGGACATTTGATAGCGGCGGGGCGTGTCTTCGTCGTCCAAGACGGGGCCGTCGCCTCCCTTCGTGGTCTCGTTTGGTATTCTAAGCCAACCGAGAGGGATCACTGTGTTAGACATGGTTTTGAGAGACTGTTTTAACGCTGAATGGTGCGGAGCATCGCTAGCGGTCAGAGTTGTAGTGTTGAATCGAGCGATACCCCGCCAGCCAGCGTACTTCGGCGTAGAGTCGTGGGAAGGCCGTGGACCATCCTCGACACACGCTTCCCCCACTCGCCGATTGCGGTGGTCGAGCGTTCATCGTGCGTTCCACACAAAGCAAACTACGACGGTTAGTCGACGCTTGGCAGCCTGGCCGACCCCAATTTTGTGTCGGGTTTGTAATAACGACCTAGCTCGGCACCGGATTCGTCGAAACAGCAGAACTTTTTCTCTGTTGAACCGTCGCATGAGGTGTCCGTAATGCCGATGTCATTCTCTAGTTGACCTGTTGCTTGTCGCTTGCAATACACGCACGATAGAACGGTCTTTCTCTCGGCCCCACGTCCCTGTCCTGCCCCGGCCATTGCTTGGGGCCCGAGCGAGCGTTGATGGTGGGTGGGGTGCCGTGTGCTCTATGGCAGCGCAACAGACCGACCATTCGCAGTGTAGGAAAGCAATCGGCCGAAGAGACCTCATTGTGACTTCATCACATACCAACCGTACGAGTCTTGAGTCAACAGGTGAAGCCCACTTTGTGACGACCGTGTTCGTGTGAAACGACGTCAACTTTGTGACTCTGACGGTGTGTTCGCCAGAAACATAATACCACGGAACATATCAGGTGTTGTTCTTGCTACGGCTCGCATTCATCGAGTGATACGATTCGGGCAACCAATTGGGTGGATAGTCTGTATTCGAGGTCAGGTCGCGTTTTGTGTTTTTTTTGTTTTTCGATGTGGTTGCAGAAAGTTCGCGATGTGTAGTCCTGGACAAGATGGAGAACGACGAGTCGGGCAAGTAGCACAACACATGGGGCGACTTCCGAAGCAATGTTCGAGCTGGCTTGGAATTACCGCAAAGCACTCGGAGACACCGACGGTGCGACATGCTTTGCGGCGCCGATATTCAATACCGGATTTTACTGCTTCAGAACTATTTCTCTGGTAAACCGTCGCATGAGGGTTTTGGGTCGATGCTGCCGATATCATTCTCTAGGGGACCTGTTCCTCGTCGCTTGTTATCTAGGCACGATAGAACGGCCATTCTCTCGGCCCCATGCCTCCCTCTGTTCTGGCTCGGCCTTTGCTCGGGACCCGACCTTGATGTCGAATGCGGTACCGTGTGCCCCATGGCAGCGCAGCAGATCGACCATTAGCACTAGGAAAGTAATCGGCCAAAGAGACCTCATTGTGACTTCATCACATGCCAACCGTACGAGTCGCGAGACAATAGGTGAGCTCACCTTGTTGCACGCGGGTTCGAATGAGACGACGTCGGCTTCTTGACTCTGACGGTGTTCGCCAAACACACAATCATGTACTACGGTGTTATTTTGCCTACGGTGTTGTTGATGCTACGTGTCGTATTCCGCGAATGACATGATTGGGACAAGAAATACAGTCTCGCTGGTAGTCTGTACTCGAGGTCAGGTCGTGTCGTACGGTTGTTTTGGGGTTAGATATAGGAGTATGTTGTTGCAGAAAATGTCGATGACACTATATATAGACATCAACCAGATGACAAGGGACCGTGCGACTGAATGCTGTAGTCCTGTACTGGATAACACATTGGGTGAACCCAAACGGTGCTCGGGCCGGCTTGGAATCTACCGGAACGCTTGGTGGCCGACCTCGGAAGAACTTCGAGACAACCGGCGATGCGACATGCGTTGCGTGACTGACGTTTTAGACTCCTTCCATGTATTTTGCTGGCGCTGAAGAACGAGAAGCCAGGAGTTGACAGCCTTACAGCATAATCGATCACCTCTGTGATGGTTTCGAGGGTAGCCATTGTAGGGAATTGTAGCCTGCGGACGCTCGCTCATACATAGCGCCGGTTGTGACTTGTTCGTACGCTGTAACTCACGGCGGGCCCCGCTAACGTTGTATCTGTCTTCTGTGTTTTCCTTGACTTTTGACGTTTCAATGGTTTGATTGCCTCTACTTCCCGTACTAACCAGCTCGGTGACATTCGTTTCCACCTTCTTTTGTTGCTCTCTCCATCCCTTTCTCTCTCTAGCGAGAGTAAACATATGGTCAGGGCGGTACATGATGCAAGACAATAAGACAGCAACCTAAGCAAACACATCTCGTCGTCCAATCGATGATGATGATAGATACGCCTCCGTGCACATGCACCTAACCGAAGTTTTTGCGCTCGTACAACAACCCACTGTTGGATTGTTGTATGACCCTAGCCCTATTGGCCATATCGATCTGTGTCGTCGTATTCGAAAACAGGTAAATACTGCGTCGGCGTGTGCTCCCCCGAGGGGTCTGCATGCGCGTACGGAAACAATCGCACAGGACCTGCAATGGAGAGGTTAGTTGTATACCTCAACCGATAGGTATTAATCCAAGTTGTTCCTGGAAGGTTGTCGAAAGAGACAAGCGAGAACACATCGCAGACCGAGGTATGCTAGACGTGATAAACCACACCCCGTTCCATTCTAATGCGACAGATATTGACATCATGTGTCCGTGGCAACCGGTCATCAATCCACCTCCATCCTCAATTATAGCCCTCACCACCGTTTCCCGTCAGACCAAACGAAGCCGATTTCGACGAGGTCTGTGTGCAAGAAGGACAACGAAGGGGTCCCAAACAACCAGGGACTGCAGTAGTCCAGGAGGGTGGGCAGTCAGGTCGACACCATAGGTTCGATCGAGACGTTCCGCCGGAGACGCATCCACTTCTGGTGCGCACAGAATGTTGTAGATCTGTCAGCCGGCTGAATCCAACGATGCAAACGCCAATGGGCAGGTTTGAAGTTGTTGACCACTGCCTCTGCGTTTTTCCATTTCTTGCTGATCAGGTTGTCAGTCAATATATTGGAGGGGGTGCGGGCGCCGCCGCCAGCCCTGTGCGTCCGTTCTACAGAATAGTCAACGCAGATGTGCCATCTTGAGTGCTGTTGTGGTAATGTCGTACTATCGTGTTCCCTTCGCAGGCACTACTCTGTCGCACTTCACGCACGAGAGGCCAGCTCAGTTGCATCAGTACCGGTTGTGGGTTACACATGGTCTACCTATTGTGGTCGAGCTCTCTCCGTTGTACATTGACCTCCGAGTCGTCCGACTCTGGGTGTCACCTCGTTGTTTGTCAAAGTTTTCATCCGTTTGGTTCCCCGCGTGTCGACTGTTAGGCCTCGCAGTCTCCGTGTGTTGAGGAATTGCAACTCGCTAGTCCCCACAAACGAACCATTACCCGAAGAACAGTGACAGATTCGCACGGGTGATTCTGTTCAAGGTTGCTCTTGTCTGGCCGGGCCTTTCTTGCGCTGCCATATTCCACTGTACCTGGCACGAAGGGCGCTGCGTTGCTTCCAATGCAGCTCCAACCACTTGAACCAGATAGTCCTTCGACGGATCGGTTATTCACTTGACCTCAGGACTTGCGTAAGGACGACGCGCTTCTTTTTGGATCCGTGGGGAAGGGGCTTCTTCAAAGTATCTCAGGCATGACGAACAGGGAGTTCAAGAATCGAGCTAACAAAAAAAAAAAGCCGAGAAGTTGGTACGGACGGCAGCAATTTTGCTTGTATTTGTGGCCACGCTCCCCGCGAAGGCCAGGTGCCAAGGTTCTCTACAAAAAACGCGTGGTAGGTTTTTCTCATGTTCGTGGGTGGCATTTTGTGCTTGAATGTTGATGCAACGACCGTCACCGGGCACCCCCCAGCACTTCCTTCATCACAAAGACTACTGATTGTGCCGTTCTTATCGTGGTTCGAGAGGCGCTTGTACCGCCAGTGTTTCGCCCTTGGCGAAGTGTCGACTGTGCTGGTGGCGTACAAGCTCACCTGTCGCCTCACGACACATTCATCCGTGCACGGGGCACACCCTCTCGTATGTGGCTGGATTGGCATTGCTCTGGCTTGACGTCAAACGTGGTCGAAGGTGCTCGCTCATTTTACAAGTCTATCTATGGCATTTTGCCCACCGCACGGCGCCCGCCGTGTCGCAATGTTGGTCGCACGAAACAGGTCAAGGAAAAATCACGTATTTCGGCACTCTCGATCTTCAAACGGTTCGCATGGAGGCGATTCCTATGATGACGCAGCAGAGCCGGGCTCAAGGTACTCCGCGTACCTTGGGCATTGTCTAGGCAACGCGGCAAGGTTCTTCGTTAAAGCTGTGCCTGTATTTCAGCGAGCGGTGCACTTGTCTCCTGGTTTTTCGTTTGATGAAAACCTTCGTTCCATGCGAAACAACAACAGCGAATGCACACCTTTCAAGCGTGAGGAAGACCTCAAGGGTCAACTCAGTCCTGTGCGAGGCTCGCGGCCCATTCGGCAGCCCCGAACCCAGTACGCGGTCATATTTCGGCCAGGTGGTACCCACTGAAGATTCCAGGTTCTTGTCCGAACAGTGACATGCCAAAACACAAAATAGCCGTCTCAACAAGTGCTGAAGGGGGGTACAATGCACCACACCCTCTGGTGTTGCATCGAATACAGACCTGGCACCAAGTCCCTACTCTCCTTCCAGCATCTACGCCGCACAGTGCCGCTCCGGAGCCTGTTGTACGTTTTACCGCAACTCCGAACGCACAAGCCCTCTTAATCACAATCTCATGGGATCAATACAGGGCAGGATTCATGGCCATCGATCCCACACAAAACACCCCAAAAATTGGACGCCTTCGCGGGAAATTTAGTATTGTAAGGAAATACAACAGGAAGGGGGTACGCAGACCCTATCTTCTCTAACTCTAACCCTCACCAAACTTCCCCGATTGTATGCTGTATCCAACATGTTTCCTGGATAGAAAAAAACTACGAAGGTTCTGCAAAAATTGCAGCAAATTGCAAAAATGTTGTACCATCGACACCTGTGTTCCGAGGAAGGGCGATCGCATTCACATCATGACTGGTCCACTTCCGGCACAAGTGTCCGACGAAAAAAATATCGAAACTTGCAAGACATTAAATCATCTGCCCTTCAGGCTGCTGCCTACCGCTTCCAACGCATGGGTTACCAAAGCATTGACGCAACCCTCTCCATCGCCATGTTCTGCACATCACCCGAACAGACCACAGCCGTTTTTCGTTTCAATCCAAGCTTCCTGGAAACGGGACTAATTCGGGTTACACCAGCCCACCACCATACAGTGGCGCCGGAGTACGGCATCGTTGTCCCGAAAATCACCCTAGCATCGAGGTAACATGCTCACTCTTGGCGCCAGCATGACGAGACATCTGCGTCCTGCGCCAGGCCATCGTGGCCACCACTTCAGCGGGAAGCTGCGGGTGGCTTCGCGAAACCAGCGGCCCGGCCTCTACTGCTGCCACCCAAAAATACCGCGGACGCTGCTGCCCTTGCTATTTGTTCCTTGGTCGCCAGGAGCAACGCGCTCTTGAGAATGGTGTGCAGAAGCTAAGAGGAAGCACGACGAGGTGAATTGACAGCATGGGAGGGGCGGGGGGTTCGGATGACGATCCAACGAGCCGTTGCAAATCTCCACACTCGATACTGACATGAGTGCCAAGGTATATATACAATACAGGCCGAAAGAACCCCGTGAAGAAAGCTGCTCCGCAAAACCAAAAACGGGATACTCATACGACGGAGCACTGGCGTTACTATGGTGGAAAGTTACGGACTCCTCGGAAACACCAAAAGAGTATGTCGGGGAGGAGAAGCGGGAGCGCTCCGCAAAACCAAAAACGGGACATTCATACGACGGAGCACTAGCGTTACGATGGTTGAAAGTTACGGACTCCTCGGGAACACCAAAAGAGTTTGTCTGGAAGGAGAAGGAGGAGCCCACATTGACGAATATCCGCAACGGCTGTTGATACAGGTACGCAGGAAATCACAAGACGGTAGACTCTCCCTCATGCAGCGTACAAATTGGCAAGAGAAAAGTCTAGAACCCAGAAAGGTATACGGTCGCACAATGCAAACACCTTCGTCATCCCCCAAGGCTGACACCGTCTCCCAGCCCCCGGCTCTATTGGAACCAACATCATACATAGTCCTCTCCCGCTAAATGCTGTTCCAGAAAGGTGGCACGGATCCCAATGCCAGAATTGGCAGTCCAACCCCCCCCCCCCCCCCGCGCCCTTTCCGTCCTATGCATACGCAGGGAAACCATGCCTGACCTGAGCACCGCAGCCCGCGTACAAGCCCCCGATACCCTCCCGTCGGAAAATGTCCACCAACACGGTGGCCATGCTGTGCATCTCGCCGCCAGTTGTCCCCTCCCCTCTGTCCACGGCAGAAGCCGAGGAGGCAGCGACGGTGGACTCTGCAGCGGCAGATCCGAAACTCGCATCGATCGGATGCCCTGACCCTCCTCTGTCGGACATCCTCGTGGCGGCGGCGGCGGCGGCGGCCGAGCGGTCTTCACCGTTGTTCGATAACCTCTCGTCTCCTCCATAGCTTCCCTCGTCGGTAGCTTCGCCTATCCTACCGGAACCACAGCTTCCGAAAACGTGTCCCTTCGGCGTTATGAGCTGACTTGCCGACGCCGCTGGAGGCACCGCGGGAGACGAACAGTTTCCACTTCGACGATCAACGATGGGTGCGGAGGGCGACGACGGCGAGGTCATCAGCACAACCTTGGCGCGGATGAGAGGGTACGTGACGAGGGTGGCGAGCGACTTCGCCGCCGCCGCCACCAAAAATGCCTCCAGAGGGTTCAGAAACCCATCCGTGCCCCCCCCCGAGGTACCGACTGCAGAAGCCCCCGCTGTTGTGCTGCTTACAGTACCGGCAGCAGTGGCCGCTGCGTCTCTTCTTCGGAGCCACAACGCCTTCAGGATGTCGAACGCCGTGTAGTTTATCGCCGGGTTGCACGTGAGGATAAGAGACGGGGTGAACCCGCGCCAGAAGCGGCCTAGCCCCCCGCCCTCCCTGTAAAGCTCGCCTGTAACGGCGGCAACGGACTGTCGCGGACGCCGCTGCCCCCGCTTGATAGGAGCTTGGTTGTCGCCTGCTGTCTGCGTCACTTTCGCCGTCATTGCTGGGACTGGATCTCTCCATCTGCCGTTGGTATCATTGCCTACGCCACACCTGCGACCGTCCAGACGCGATGACCCTTCCATCGCACCATGACCCCCCCTCCCCCCTGCTCCCTCTCCGTCGTTGTTTTCCACCGACGGGGTGCACTGCGGTGCTGTTTGCATCCTAGTCGTGATGTTTTCGAGCGGGAGCGTGAATGCCTGGTTCACAGCACCGGCCATCGCTGCGGCGAGTAGGTTGAGAGAAGGCCGGAGCGGCTTGGAGGCGCCTCCGCCGCTACCGCCTCCCGCTGCCCGCCGTCGCAGGAGCCCCTGTTGTTGTCGAGCGGATGGGGGGGGGGTAGTTGCATGGCGTTGGCATGGCGTTGGCATGGGTGTATCGGGTAGTGGAAACACGGGAACGTGTTGGTGGATGTCGCCGCTCAGTTTGGGGCGGATTCAAGGTTCTGGCAGTGCTGGCCTGGTACATTTGCATCGGCTCAAACACATGCATCGCGACGTGCGCCTCAAGGGCCTCAAGGGCAGAACATACTGCTTTGATGGGCAGTTTTTTCATCCCGCGCACACCATATCTCACCTTGATGAAAGCGTACGCGTAAAAGTAGACGAAGCTTCCCAACAACGCCTGTAGCACCTTCGCCTCGATGCCCTCGTACAGCCTCGGTAAGCCCCCCTCCGTCCTGACGATTGACAACAGCGCGGCCAGGGTTCGGCTCCGGAACCACACTCGCCGCCGACCGTCGGCCGCTCGCGCGGTGTTCCTGCTGCCGACTCTTCCACCCCCTGGTGCGGTGGAACCTTCCTCCGTATTACTATCGTATCCACCGCTACTCTCATCATGATCATGACGACTGCGCGTGGTGACGGGCGACGATGCCTGTGCTCTTGTTTTGGCGATATCGATGGGGTAGAAGACGGCAACCGCCACGACACTGCCCAGAGCTCCTGCAAGTGCGTCGGAGAGAGCGGCCAGAAGAGCGCCTCGATCTCTAGGCGTGGCTGGCGCTGCTGCTGGCGGCGGCCGTGGTGGTGGTGATGCCGGTGCTGCGGTAGGTACTGTTGACCCACCCATCGTATTCCTGTGCATTCTGTCCCGCGGGTTGATACGTTGATACCACACGGGTTTCTTCCCTGGCTGATTTCTCAACGCGTCGTTCGGGCAATAACCACCAGTTTATGGGCAGCCAGCTCCCTCCAGATCCTTACCGGCCAAGAAAATGAGTTCTGACACAACCGCCCACAACACACCCAGCAGTACAAGCAGTGTGTATGCTATCCATGTGCACATGTGATGGTTATCGGAGTGCGGGACAATCGGGGGCTACGCCGACTGATGGAAATTGCCTGTACCTTGCTGGACGAAATATCTCATTCGGTGTGCCGCCACGTACATGGGAAGTTGCACGGACAGCGGGACGCCTTGTCACACCTTTTTTCGGAGGTGGGAGTCCAGTAGCCATAGACCGGAAGAGCAATACAAGCCCGCAGATCTGATCTGTTCTTGGTGTTGTTCACGCATTGGATAACGAAGCCAGGAAACCGGCTGCAGAAACACGCATAACCTGATGGCCACAAGATTGCCTCGCTGCTTCGCCGCAGCCGCGGCAGCGGCGACAGCAACATCATCGGCATCGTCGGGAAGCAACAGCAGTAGGGTAACACCACCCGCAGCAGCTGCCAGGAAACACTCGCAGGCGAGGGGGGACGACGGCAAGGAACCATGGCGAAGAGAAGCAGCATCAACGCCTGCTGATGCGGCGGGATGTACAAAACTTGCCAGCGGAGGTTGTCGAAAGGGCGCGGTTGGAGGAACAGCAGCGGCAGAAGGAGCAGCAGCATTTAGGTCATCCATTGAAGCGCTCCAAGCGTCGTTGCAGGGGTTGCTCGGCTCCGTACCGTTGGTGAGGATTGTGCACGCCGATGGTGCTGCTGCTGTTGCCGTTGAGACGGCGGGGGCGGAAGGGGAAGGGGACGCTGCTGCTGCGGTGTCCGAGCTGGAGGATGGCGACAAGCCTGAGTACATCCAACGCGCGGACGAGCAGGTGCGCAGGCACGATTGCATGAATGCACTCCATGCACTCCTTTCCCCGCCGCTTAGAGGGCGGCGGTGATGCTATGCCGCATGATTTTGTTTATCGTGTGCTGGAGGGACTGAGACTCCTGTTTTTGCGTTGATTTTTGTCAGGTTGAATTCTCGCAGACACAGTGCATGTGTTGACCGCATCACCGCACAGCCGTCCGTCCGCTTGGCTATCTCTTTGCGAAACGTTAGACACATTGAAGGGCCGTGTGCCTTACAGCAGCACTGCACTTCTGTCCGTAGCTGGTGGAGTGCAACCCACCTAGGACACTCTCGCCAATGAATTTCATTTTGATTGTGTGTGCAGTGGCGCATTCGACAATGTTCTACTCGCCCACCACATGGCACCTCGCACCGCTTGCGCGGGACGTTGCAATTCTAACGGCTTCCTTGAGTAGCAGGCATAGCTCGGGGGTCGCTCGATCGTGGGCTTGAGTTTTGTCTGCTGGTGGCACAAGGGTGAAGTTTTTCAAGAATTGCGCAGCCAGGGTGGGTTCGACACGCCTTTGCAACAGAAGTACAGCGCCTGCCCACCTGCCTTGCACAGCCGCTGCGTGAGCTATCAGGTTCCCACACCTCACCTGATATTTCTGCTTTGTCATCATCATCGCTTGACATCGGGAGAAAAAACATGCTTCACAAAAGCGGGTGTGCTGCTCTTTTTTTAGAGCTTTCAAAGCAACCCATTGGGGTGCTATCATGGGGTGTTGATGAGAGTAGACTATATCGCGCACCACCTCCTCTTCGATGGAAGTATGTACTGTAGGTCCTCCAACGCTTGGTTGTTCCATGGCGTTGCACCCCTCCGCTGATTGTGTCCCACCGGTCCACAATTCCTGGTCCCGAACGACGATAGGCGGCGCAGATGAGGCAGCAGTTGCGGCGACCTGCACAGTTTGCGGACCAGTTCATGGAGGTTTCTCAGCTCACCCAGGTAGGTGTATGTTTAGATGAGGGCAAACATACCGGACAAAGCACAGCATCGGCCATGTTGGGGTTAGGGCTAGGGTCTGCGTGCCCCCTGCCTGGCCTCTTACTGCGTAAGCGGTCCGTTCATGTTGACAACCGGGCATTCTTGTGGATTGTGTGCATAGAACGCATGTAACCATGTTTGCCAGTTCGACAAGGGATCGCGCTGTACGGGTCGTGGATGACCATCTCGGCTTCAGCGAGGCGCACACGCTCCCTCCCTCTTGGTAATCGCGTCATCTGCTGCTATCCGCATCACGAGTAGTGAGTTCGTAGTTTTTTGGGGGGGGGTTGTCCTCGTCGTACAAGGGACAGATTGCTCCTGCAGAGCTCGGATGTAAGAGCTTTCAGATGTCGTGGCAGCCGTGTTTTCTCTTGGCAGGTTGGTATTCTCCTTCGACGCCTGATAGGTTTCGTCCTCGGACGTTCGCGTCTCTACAGATGTACGTGCACTCGTATGCCTGATAATCACGCCTGAAACAAGACTATATTCCTGCAGTCTGTTAAACAGGTTGTCTCTGCAGCAAGACCTGCGTGTCTGCCGGCCCAGCCTTTGCAGCCTCAAGTGTGTTTTTTTGGCGGCCGTCCTAATCAATGTTGGTCTCTCTCCCCCCGTGATAGGTGCACTCCTTTGAAGGGTTCCGTCTCGACATGTCGAAGCCGGTTACGCCGACCTTCTTCACCTCGCATACCATCTTCTTCGGAAACCCTCAGTTCCCCAGCGGGCATTACCAGGTGTGTTTTTGCGCTCCTTGTAGTTGTGCTGTATGTGGTACGCACGAATTTCGCATGAGCTGCTGATGTCGGCATCAGTGGTGTACTCCCGTATACGCACGCCGTGTCGTTAGACCATTGACCTTGCATCCCTGCAATGCCGAGACGGAGCGATGTGCCTGGTTTTGCTGGTCCAGGCCATTAGCGTTTTTCAAGGATGAACCAAAAGCTGGTCATCGTCCTTGCATTTGCTGTGCCAAACCAGGTATGCCATGGGTTGGTTGGGCATGTGGGGCGGTGATTTTGTTTGTTTTTCGTCAGCTCAACTCTACACCTTTGGCATTGATATATTCCTTGATATTGTACGGTGATTGAGTCGCCGTTGGTGTGGGGCTTTCCCCTGTTGTCCATACACACACGACCGTCTCAACTGCCCCCTCCCCCCCCCCACTACTCGCGTGTGCCACGCAGGGCTCCCTTACCGTGGTTGGTGAGAGCGATAAGATGGTGCGAGCCTCTATGGACGCCGACTGCAACGTTAGCATGGACGCGCACGCGCCCCTGGGCATGCCGGGGTTGGCCGGGAAGCTGACGGTGCACCAGGGGAAAAACGACCTCATCCAGGGGACCGCTCTATACAACGGTGAGTCCGTTTGTTGGTGTGTTGTTTTCGACGGTGTGAACGCTGGTGTGCTTTGCAGCACCTGGTGATGGTGGTCATGGAAGTGGCACCGCGTGTCCTTGGCGCAGGACTTGGGAGACAGCTTTGCTGGTGTTGCATGCGGACAGCGGCAGTCGAAAGAAGTTGAAATGCACAGCCCTTGCGGATGGAAGGCGTGCTGCAATCCTACGAAGGCCGGTAAGGATGATTGGCGTACACCCGAAAGAGTGGCCTCGAAGCAAACCCTTTGCACTTTATCCGATCCCCTCTCCCCTTTGATGACCTTCGGGTTGGCCACATGCCAACACAATATTTGCACGATTCAATGTCTGGGTACTCTTGGCATATCCCCGTCGAAACAAGGTGGAGCAGACAAGGGACGCTATATTTCGGTCATGAAGAATGTCGCAGAAACGTTTCGTCACCCCGAATAAGGTGGTAATGCCATTTGAAGCATGAGCTTCGCGTCGGGATGTATTCGCGTGGTCAATGGCCGAACCTGAGGAAAGCAACGAATGATCTCTCCAATTCCGCCAAGGGACGATCGGCTATCGGTGATCGGCCCCAGGAAAACCATGCCCCGTCCTCTCGAGGACGCGTGGTCAATGGTATCAATTGAGGCATGCAAAACACAAGCGTACGCCCCCCCCCTCGCCGAACCCCCTCAACCCCCTCCAGGTGATACTTGCTCGGGACAGATTGCCCTTGGTACCGGGCCGGTGGAGATATCGTACAACCAGGCCGTCACTCCGCACCTGTCTGTGGGAGGCCAGGGTCAGTTCAGCTCCGCGCAACAGGCGGTCGGGCTCCTGTACGGCTTCAAGTACAACACCCCGAGGTGCCCAACGCTAGAACATATAAGGGCGACATGGTTGTCCTCGTGTGACGCCTGCAGTCGTTATTTTTGTGCTGCTGCTGCTGCTGCTGCTGCTGCTGCTGCTGCTGCTGCTGCTGCTGCTGCTGCTGCTGGCTTTTGGTGGTGGTGTTGTTGGTATTTTGCAAGGAAGTGGCAAATGCCACGAACCCCGGGCACGAACAGGGCCTTCAGGCACAACTCGCACTTGGTGCAACCCGCTGAAAAACAGCGGCCGCCTTATATCAATGCATGGCCTCGAAATGTCCGTGCACGTGTCGTGTATCATATAGTGTTTGAGGGATGTTTGGGTCTGGGTGCGCGCGATTGTCGTGACACCCCCCCCGGTTCGACTGATCATGTTGATTGTATCAAGAAGGTTGTTATTCATTTTTTTGCTTGCAACCCCCCCACCCCCCCCTGCTCAACTGCAACAATCGTGTGCGGGGTTATCTGTGATACCACGCCCGGTTTCGTCTCATGCCTCCACCCTCGCGCGGCGTGCCGCTCTTTGCCGTTGTGCGATGCGATGTGCTTGTCGGTGTGTCAACAACACACCTACTTATTCAGTTGGGCAGTGCTCGGGAGGCTTATCGGTGGAGGCGCTAACGTGGTGACCGCGCAGTACCTGAGGAGGGTGGTGCCCGGCAGAGTCACTCTCGGTGCCGAGTACCAGGCGCAGCTAGGTGCCGGCAGCCAGGTACAGCATTAACCCTGGCCTATGCACTTTTTTGTGGCAGCAGGATGGTTGGGGGGTAGTAATTGGTAGTGTTGTGTCCTCTGCAGAGGTGGACTTCGTTGTTGTTGTGTAGCCGACGTTGCTTTGGCAAGCGGTGTTCACGGTACTTCTGGCAATGTTTTGTGGTTTGAAAGTCCCTGGTTGTTTCGCCGTGGAGAAGGTGGGCACGTGACAACCCCGGGGGGAACAACGACGATGGTAGAGTGAATCCCAACTTTTTCCCGGAACGATTTTCCTTTGGTCGGAACCCTCCCCCTGTTGTGCTTCAGTTCTCACGACTCCTATTGTGCTTTTTTCGCTATTTGCATGCACGTTCGAGCGTCTGTTATGATCGAGCTGCGACAAGCACTCGACGCATGTATCGTAGCCGGTCGCTGACGCCTTAGCGCCCGAGCAGAAAGCGTGAAGTACTTCCAGCCACTCACTGCTCTCCGCGCTTGTCAGCGCTTTCGAACATCTCTTATCCTCGGTGTGTTGCGTACACACGTTCACAGTGCCGTGCGGAGTTTCTTGCCCCGACGCGTTCTGCAGACCGTTCATTCGTCGTTTCACGTACATGCTCACAGCAGCAGCCGCCGCCGCCGCCGCTGCTGCTGTTCGTTGTTCTGGACGCCGTGCGTCGGTGAAACCGTCAAGCCTCGAGTTGGTTGCACTGCCGCTCGTTGTCAGACTTTCGTGCTTGTTCTTTCGGTACCTCTTATCCGTGACCCGCGTTTGAACTCTCCGTGCCTTTGCCCGCTTCCGGTTTCGCCCTTCTTTTTGCGGCGTCGACAACGGGTGTTTCCCCCCTACTTGCCTTGTTGTCAGATGATGGTCGGAGCCGAGTTTCAACTCAAGCAGAGCAAGATGTCTGCCAGCGTTGACAGCAACGGCAAGGTGGACTCCACCCTCGAGGTACGCCCGTAACATCGGGGCTCTAAGCCACTCTTTTAGCCGTTGCCTCGTGTGATTTTTCGCGCCCTTGTGTGAGGAACTGTTGAGGAAGTGCATGGGTGGGCTTTAAAGTGACGCAGTGCTGTTCTCATCGCCTGGCGCGACGAGAGTGCAAGCGTTGGCACTCTTGTATATTCGTCGTTGTGTGGGTCCTCTCAAACACTTGGGGAGCCTTGCGTGTTCCTTGTTTTCAACTGAATCTTATCGCTGCACTCTCTTGCCTCTAGCGGACGCTGCTGAGTTCACTTTGCTGTCGCCAAGATTTTGAGCCACTCAAACGCCGGGGGCCGCATGCTCGAGGGGCATTGTGCTCTTTTCCCAGCCTGTTTATCAGCAGCTCCTTCGTCTCACTTTGAACCCGGATGGAATGCTGGGATTGTAGTTGACATTCTGAAAATCCTCGACCAACCGCTCCCTGACGAGTCAGTCCCCCTCTCTTGGTGACTACCTACGCCGTACCACGATCCTTCGGCGTTCTGTCACCCGTCGAAGTTCCCGTTGTCGTATTTTCTCCACGCTGCCGGCGACGCTCACACCATTGCCCTTGATTATTTTCTCCCCTGCCCCCCACGCCCAAACCTTGTCGCCGAACACATGCGTCTTGTCCTCTTTCCCGCAGCTCAAGTGCGGGACATTCCCAACTTTGCCCGTTACGCTGACCATCTCGTCGTCGCTGGATCACTCCGAGGACAAGCACACTTTCGGGTTGGCCCTCACCTGCGGACAGTAGATGAGATAGAAGAGTTTCCTGATCTCGGTGTGATGAATGAAAGTGGTCCTTTTCTTCCTTGTTTGCTGCTGCAGGCAGGTGCACACCAACTCGCGTTGATGCTGAATCTCGTTGGTGGTGGAGAATATATATTAATGTGATATCTAGTGTCGCAATTTTGGCTGGCCGAAGTTGACCGGTATCCTACAGGTGTAGTTTTTGAAGCGCACATTTCCCATGCTGTGGAACAAATCATGTCACAACGTAAACCGTTCACCGGAAGTGGTATTGATGATACAGCATTACGTGCATGGTCGTGGATTGAGACCACATGCGTCATGTCACGGCGCCTCGGCCTTTTTTTGCAGAAGGTGCAATAGCAGTCGGATTGGGGTACTCATGCTCTCGCCACCTTGCACGCGTGGCGTATGATAAGCTTCGTGGCTTTTCTGTCTGTTGCTGTTTTGGTCGTTATGGTGCTGTAGTCGATACGTACACCTCGCTACGCGTGCGTCTCGTTCGTTATTGGGAGCTCTTCGTGGGTCGGCTGGCTTTCCGCCCTTTCTACGTCCACAAGTAGTACTCATGGTACCAGTCGCAACAGTTGATGTTTGACGCATACCTCCTTTTGTGGCTATGAAACCGACACTTGGCGAGCTTTGTTATGCGATGCTTTCCACGGTCCTATGCTGTCTCCCCGCCTTTTGAGGCACCAAGAGACGAAATGACTGGAGCGTACAGTCTGGTCGGTGGCTGTGGCAGTGACCACACCGTCTCTGCAAAAGGGGGGGTACGGAGACGGACGATGTGCAGGGATGCTGATTCGGGGGTGCATCGATCAACCCTTTTCTTGATGGGATCGGGCGAGACGACTGGCCTTGCGAGAAGGTTGAGGGCCGCGTGTCTGTCCCGTCAAAAATGTGGGAAAACATGGCCAGGAGAGTGGAAACCGAACGAACGCTTGCATTGTTCTCCCTTGGTCAACATTGGTGCCTCTCAATTTGGTGGGCCGACTTGTGTGGACCGTGGGTGACTTCAGCCAGGGTTCACCAGTAGCAAGAAACGGAACGTCTTCTCATGAGGCGCCAACGATCTATGCCAGCTTGGAGCGGCGGGTGCTTGAAGCAATAAGAGACAAGACACGGGCTCGAAAAGGACGGCCGACCAGATGATATACATGCTCGAGCTACGGACTAATGACGGGAGAAGGGTGTTGGCTGAGCACAGCGAATTCCTTCCCCACACACGCACCTTGAATTCTGTTCACAGGATAATAATTTAGTCCATGGCTTGGCAAACTTGAGTACGCCCCCCCCCTCTTCACATTCGATAGGAAGCGCGCCCTCAGGGAGACCGAGCAGGATATTATCCCCCCGCTCTCGGTGCGGCGCGGGCACGCGACCGCTTTTACAGTACGCATGAAGAAAAGTTCGAATACAGTAGCGGCAGTGCGTCGCCAAAACCGTGGCGACGAACGTGCGACTTTTTCTCGGCCAGCGTCATACGGACGCCGACACATTCAAGCCTGCAACCGCAACCAATCTAATAAGAGCCACGCACGAAACTATCGCCTATTGTCGCGACGAGGGGCGCTGCATCAAGGTTCAGCTATATATGATAACGCCGGACACCTTTACCGGCATTCCACGATGGTTCCCTCCACAACGCCAACCCAAGACGGCGAGGGAAGGTATACAAATGAACTGCTCCAAATACCCGGGCGTGAAATCCCCGAAGCAAAACCAACCCCCCCCCCTCCCCCGTCTGTCCGCCTGAAGTTTCTGTCTGGTTTTCTCGCCCCCACCACCGCGCTGCTTTCTTCCGCCTGCAGCCTGAGCCAGCCAGGCCCCCCATCCACAATCCGAGCACCCCCGCACCGCCCGTAAACTCCCCTCCCGTTCGGGAGTAAAAGGCGTGGTGGCCGGCCGGCCGTAGCCCGTGTGTCCGCCAACAGCGAAGAAGCATGGACCGAGATCAGCATGGTCCAACGAGAGGAGGCTGTCTACCGCCTGTTCCCCGGGAAGGACGGGAGCTTCTACATCGGGATCTCTTGGACTACTTGGTTGCGCCCGCCGCCTTCGAAGTGCAGAAAGAGAAATGCAGGATGCGTTTGACGGGAAAGGGCTGCTGAGAAAAAAAATCCAAAAGCTTTGCTCTTGCATGACTGTCAAGAAGGTTGCGAGGCTCAAAGATGCAACACGATCATGCCTTGCACAGGTGTTGCAAGCTGGCACAAAAACAAAAAAAAGAAACAGCGCCCCAGTCACTCTTCCAGGCCATCGAGCCGCGCCCCCCTGCCTTTTTGCCCAACTTTCAAGCCTCCAGACCAAGTCCCCGTCCCCTCCCCCTGCTCTCCTCCGTCGCTTTCATGCAATTCCCAACAAAGCAAGAGCGGATAACCACCGCCATCTTTGAACCACACACACACACACATTCCCGGCATTGCTACGTGGCTCTCGTTCATGTGCATGTCTCGCTCGTGTACATCAAGGAAATCTGGGGTCCAAGTGGACAAAAATGAAACCACACGTGATTTATTCGTAGCTCTCTTCCCCACCCGGGCCGCGCCCTTGTCTTTGTCCTGGCATGACCTTCGGTAGGATATAGGAGAGCGAACATTGCTTCTTCTGAGTCTTCTGAGTATCAAAAACTCGTCGCTTCTTGTGAGCCTTTACATGGCACCTGTTGTAGCGCTCTTGTAGCAATCCACGAAGTACATTGTACACAACGTGCTCGTCTCTAAACCCCAAAGAGTGGCAAAGGGCGCGAACTTGTGTTTTTTCTCTCACCTTCAAGACCTGGAAAATGCTCGACCCCAACACGACGAACAAGAAAAAGAAGAGCAGGCACGGTCCTACCGCGTAGCCAGTCTTCTTGTTCTCGATCTTCCCCTTCGGTACCTACAGTGCCATCGTCATCGTCAGGTTGTCGATGGGAAACGAACGGAGAGGCCCACGGTCAGTCTGGAAAAGAAACAAGGGTTGCGCATTTCGAGTCCAAATGGACTGCCACCACAATGATGATCCCACCTCTATGACGAGTGTCGGCGGCGTTGCCTGTCAGAAGCTTTGAGAGGATTTTCAGCCAAGCGGCGGCAGGCACAGGCAACGCCAATACTTGTCACTCGCAGCTGGCCTTTTCGTGGACTTTTCCCCCCTTGTGATTGTCCACGGTGTCATTTACTCACGCCCGCGTCTAGCACGCTGCCAAAAGGACGCTCTCACGCCAATTTCAGCGGTTTTGTGCAAGCTACGTGTTGGTGCCAGGTACCCGTGATATGTTAAGCACGGTGGGGTCTGGCCGTCTGGTGTATCTCGTCAACACAGCAGCAGACAAACACACGCACACCAGTCGCACGTTTGTCTAGATACCAGATATGCCAACCAAGGAAGGCATCGACCCGTATCAAAAGTCAATGATGAGGTCCTTGAACTCGTCGAGGTGTCTGCGAACAAGAGAACGTATCCCCGCCGCATGTCTCCCACTCTGGTTTGTACGGGAAGAAGCGCGGTCAGGTTATCCCGGAGAGACTCGTTAGTCTCATATACTGTTGAAAGTGTTTACAGCGTAACTCGTTATGCCAGCGTTGGTGCATCACACGTGTATGGTAAGGTCTGCAAGAAGCGGGCCGTGTTGTTGGCATTGTTCTATGTGTGTTGTGCTGCACATCGCTTTGTTGCTGCTTTAGCTGTACCGTAGTCTCGCCGCCGAACGTCTTCAAGGAACGCCACCCGCTCTATAACCCCCCCTCCCCCCGCAGAACCTCACGTTGTAGCTTTACGGACGGCACCTAGCGTGCAAAAGTGAAGCACGCCCACACTATTGACGTTGCTGGTAAGGACCCCTTACGGCGGCTGTTGTTGTGCCCGAAGCGGAGAGCACAGGACAGGTGCCTTACCAAACAAGCACGTGGAAGGCCTGACCGTGCCAGTAGATATGCACACGCTGTGGTTTCGAGGCACCACACATCTCTTCCCCGACCCGTCCCCTTAGCATTACCCGGCTTGTTACAGGTGGGTAACAGCTAGAGGGTAGTCGGCCAACAGTATCACGCAACCTACGGGGCAGTGATCAAAGGCCTACTACTGCTGTAAGCGGCGTGCGGTTGCTGTTCGCCCAATTATGATGCACAGGGAGCAACCGGTTGTGATGAATGTGGATGCACAACACTCAACTCGTCGTTTCACCAACTCACCGAGCCGCGCCGTGTGACATTTTGGAGGTGCTTCTCGCTGGCCAAACGGGTTTTGCGAGAAGACATCCTGAGGCTGCTGACGGCTGTTGAGGGGCTTGGAGCAGTGTGTGGTTACGCGACTCTGTTGGTGTCTGCAAACCTGTTGCTGGTTGGTGTAACACCGCCAAAGATGCCCAATGCCCCGCATTTTTGGGGGGCACGCGAATACTGACGCCACACCCTCCGCCTCTAATCCTTGTTGCGTGCTGCGTGGTCAACCACACCGCACCACACATGTCTCTGCTGCGTACCAATATCCTGCCACGTGTTTGCAATGCATTCATCACGCAGATACACGCCATACATTGAGGGCAAAAATCACTATTTATTTTCAGTACTCGGTTGCAGTCACCCTCGTCCACTCGGCGATACTCCATGGTGCTACTGTAGGTATCTTGACAGCCCAGGAAATCAAAGTACTCTTCAATTGTCAAGGCGATTTCTATACACCTGGATTCCTTTCCCAAAAAAACGCACTTTTCAGGATCGGCGGCTGGAAAAAGTTCCGGCAGTTCTTACAGTAACCGGTCGCCCCGGTGATCTAGTGGGTAGCCTCGCAGGCTGCTATGGGCCAGGACATGGGTTCGAGTCCCGGCAGAGAGAGTTTTTTTCTCACTAAATAAATCCTGGTCTAGGATGAAAGCGACGCACTGCAAAGCTCGTTTGTTTGTTGGTAAACCATAATCGACTTCGTAAGTCGGGAGGGAAGGGATTGCTGTACCCTTCTCGCGATAAAAATACCTCAGGCATGAACCGCAGGAGGGAGTCCAACCCCCCCCTCCTATGTGACCCCGGTTGGGTCGTCTACCTAGTAGAAGTGGAGGATAGGGGCCAGAGGGGCAGACGACAGAGTCCCATGATGGGAAAAAACAAACAATAAAAAAACAGTGAGCCGGCTTCCCGAGGCAGATTCTTGGGGTGTGGGTGTAGATCAACCCAGACAGACGACATAATCGGCGAGTGCGACCTGAGTTCTTGACATATCGCCCCCATCAAGGGCTCCCAGTAACCCTACGCCGAAGGACTTTCTATTCCGCACGCTGGCTATTGATGGTCGCTAGGCACGCGCGTACGTAAGAAAAACATATAGCACCGCAACTGATTTCTCGCTCCCTAGGCCGCCGATCGAAGCCAGACAGGTCAGGGCGTGCTCTCTCCTTCTTGCTCTCTGCCGGAGTAGAATTGCTCGGCAGCGCGTACTCTCGATCGACGGAGAGAAGCATGCGCGTGGTGCCCGTTGCTTTTTCGAAGTGTGATTTTGTTCTGGTTTGCCACTTGTTTCTGTGCCAGATGGCTTTGTCTCTGCTTGCGTTGTGAAGTACCAAGATTGAACCAAAGGGGGTGTACCTCATTCTCTCCGGCCCGTGATGGTGACTCCTAGTCTCAGTTTTACCTCGCAAAGCGTGCAGAGGGAGTGGAGAACTCCAGAATTTCTGTCTGTCGTTGATCTCTATGGACTTGCGGACCCCCCGGGGCCATTTTATTTGATTGTACACATAGCGCCCGCACTCAGAACTTCGCAGTCAAGAAACTGAGACTCGCAATAAGTCACAAGCTTAAGAACTTGAGCACCATTTGTGAGCTCGGTTAATTAAGAACCCCACACTGAAACCTATATGGCGGCCATTTGTAGCCGACAAGAGGATGATCAGCGAAGTGAGAACCCCAGCCTCGGCCGAAACTAGAGGTTCTGAAGTGCGGGCGCCATCTGTAGCTTTTTCGGGTAAGTTAGCCTGCGACAACGGGAATCGACCGCGTCTAGTGTTGGATCATCACGGACATACGAAGGTACTGGGTAGAGAGAGATCGGAACGGTTTTTTATGTTGAAGACAACAATAACAACAACCTCGAGAGCTGAACCCAGGTTTTGTCGGCCCAAAAAACTGAAGAATCTGGCTAAGATGCCGGATTTCTGCCTATCCTGAAAAGTGAAGCTTTTTGGGAAAGGAATCTAGGTGTAGTAGAGGAATAAGCCTCAGAAAATGACAGGTAGTCTAGCTCTTTGAGTGGACTCAAGCAAGCCATGTTATCCTAATGGGTCCCTTCGTGAAGCGGTCCTCAATACTGATACGTTCCTAGGAGAAAATGGCCATCCTAAAAGTGCAACGGTGATTACATCACAACTACTTTGGTCCTTGAAATTTGTGCGTCACACTCACACGACCACCCTTTGGTCAGGGACACTGACGACTGGAATAGAGCGGTCGCGATGCATGCAGATAAATACTGCTATACACTGCTTCCTGCTGGCTTGAGGGGACCTTCGGTATAATCGAAGCCCTGAATAGTAAAGCGCGGCCGCCCGCGGCTATCAGAATGGTTGTAAACAGAAATTCCCGCCCAATCGCACATACTTTAGGGAGGTTGATTCGGGTAGGAGTCCATTGCTGGGCTGCACTCCCTCACGGCGACAGACAGATGAGAACAACAAACTTTGGAGTCAACATGAAAACGTCTCCTTTCGTCGTTTCTTGCACAAAACGAGGTTGGTTGTATCCACATATGGCCCTCATTTATCACCAACGGTTTCACACACCCTATCAAGCCCCTGCAGTACAATCAGAGTCGACTACAGTCTGTACTCCCGTTAGGACGAAAAAGGGCGATGCACGGCCGCACTACTTTAGAACCCACCGTCCCAACTCGGGAGCAGAGCCACAGACTAACCTCACGACAACCCCAAGAGGGACACGCCCATCACTCCCTCGCGCCGCGCCGGGAGTCGGCTGAGCCTCGAGCGCTCCTTCCTCCCGTCACATCAAACAACAAACTCTCATCCTTCCCACAAGGGATGGGTGTTTGTCTATCGTCGACGAAGCCGTATCAGCTCTCTCCGCACCCACCAATCGCACAACACAACACGAGCCGGCAGCCAAAGCGAACACCATCACCTCGCACGGACGCATATTATGGAGGGGTGGAAGGAGGTAGCGCGCCATCTTAGTGGCGGAACAAACGTGTAGAGGCGAACAAAGAAAAAACACGTATCAAAGACACACCAACATCCCCCCCAGGGGACACGTTGCAGAAGAGCGTGCTCTTGGGGGGTGACTTCTAACCAAATGTCCCAATGCGGCTCCCACGAAACTACTGTATGCATATGAAGCGCATCATGTATCTCACATTCAGAGACTGCCTCGACCAGCCAACGACCTCCGAAGAAATAAATCCTACGACTTCACCGTCCGCTGAGACGACGGGCAACATCATTAGAAGCGGCTTCTTTTTGGAGAAGATGCCGATCGGCGGATTTTCCGAAAAAAAACGCGATGGTTTCATTACAAAATTATCCTGGACTCATATCTGTGGATAGAGATGGGTTCGTTGTTATGGATCAATATGTGGTGATGGAGTAAGAAAAATCAAAACAAAATAACCTGAAGTGTGCGCGCGATCTACAACCACCGGTGGCGCCAACGCAGTAGCGATTATGTTAACTTCGACGGTTGGCGAGAACGACCCGAGCTGACAAAAGCGGTACCGCGGAGCTCCTGCAATGCGGCCACCATTCCAGTAACCGTTCCAGGAGGCGGAACTTGTTAGATAGTAATGCCGCCTTCAGGCTCCCAAACAGCGCCGAGCTCTGAGAGCATCTTGTGAGCCTGTAACATTGAGATTGGGCAACAAAACGTGAGAGGTGAATGCAAGTCGCTGAGGCGATGGCATGGGAGAGGGGGATCTCGGCTGACACAACAAGAACATTGCGTCCTGATGACCTCAGATATTCATGCCCACGAGCCACGTAGATCATCTCGCAGGAAAGACGACTAGCAAATTCTGCCGTTGCGTCGTTACCCCCACGATGGTGGTTGGTCGCACCCGGTCCAACCTACCACGTTCGACCCCGTTAACGTCGTGAGTGTCTTTCGTTACTAGCACATTCCGGCAAAAATCTCCTGAACTACCGCTTGTGTAGACTTCAGAAGGGCCACGACAGCGCGACAAAGACGGCCGAGGTACAAAAGAGTCCGTGCGCTACACACATGGTCGGATCGGCATACGCGGCAAAAATGAAACATTCTATCCAGAATCTCCTCTGTCCGCATCATTCGAGGTTGCACTCGTGTGCCCGCGGAAAGTCTGAAACAATTGAAAGGTCGAGGGAAGGTTTCAACCACCTCAAACACGAAACATTCCACGGAAAACAAATCCAAAGAGGCGAACAGCAAGTAGCGTAAGGTACCAAAGGCCCAATCGAGCAGCAGGTCTCATCCCTCATGCCAGGACGCGGAATCAACACCAAGGAATGCAAATGGTACGAGTACAGCTGTACTACCGCAGCACCGAAATATAAATTACCGCAAACAACGCTGTGCTGCCCCCGTCCTACAAGTCGGGGCATGAATATGCTCTTCCCGCTACCGTTAGAGTCGGAGAGTTGGCACGGGCCGGAGAGATGGCACCGGGTGCGATGAAAAAAAACGAGAAAAAAACAATTAAGTATCGATTTCGGCACCGGGGTGCGATCTCTCCGACCCCCACATCCAAGGTTGAGCTATTTTTCAGCTGCCGGAATGAGGTACATGTGCATACGTTTTACACGTGGGGACGGAGTCAGCGGAGCGCCACTCCTTTACGTATGATTGGTTGGTCGCGGTTCACGCGGGATGCCAGTTGTTTTCATATTTTTACTGGTATGGAAGTTGCCAACCGTACACTCAACCAAACACACAACGTACAAGCCGCACCCTACCCCACCTTACACAATCCGAAGCTATTGTACTTCTGCGTACGAACTGGTATCCATAATAGAAGAACGAAACGAAAGCGGGAACCAATTGATACCGCGTGTACTGGTACCAACTCGGCTGCGCTATTCCGCCGCTTTTTTCGGGGTATGTTGTGTGTGTGTTTCGCCGCCCTTTTTTCCGGCTCATATGTATGCGTGTGTGTGCAGAAGACTGTGTGCGTGCGTGGGTACCTACACTGGTATCAATCAATACTGTGGCAACGGTCGGGGAGATGGCACCGGGGTGCGTGCAAACAACACCTGTGTGCACTTCATCGGGGATCGCACCGGTCGGAGAGATCCCACCGGGGTGCCTTGAAAATTCTACACGACTTGATTAAAATGCATTTCCGCACCGGGGTCGGAGAGATGGCACCGGGGTGCGATAAATAAAAAACCCGAGGAAAAAACATGTTAACATACGATCGCACCCGGTGCCAATTCGCCGACCCCTACGTTCTTCAGGCCACTCATCCCTGACACCCTTTCAGGTGCAGTACAATGGCAGTACCACATTAAACTGACAACACAAAATCACAGATTCTACCTGAACTAAACGAAAAAAGTCCAGGAAGCGACACGGCTGGACCTCATGTATCAGCCAATCAACCCCCTTCGCGCACTGACTACATAGTCTTGGCCGGTGAAGGGGCTGGCGCTGGCCCTCTATGCCTCCTTGTATGCATAGTCTTGGTAGAAGGCCTTTTGTACCACGGCGCCGAACAGACCGGACCAAAAAAAAAAAAAGAAGGTAAAACTGACGGTTCAGCAGTGTGTACGCAGGCATACCTTCTTGTAGTCCTCAAAGAACGCCTCCTGGCTGGCCTTGTACTTCTGTGCGAAGGGGAGGAAGCCCTCGTCGACGAAGAGGCACCTGTCGGTCGCCAGCTTGAGCAGCTCAGGATCGCACCCTTCGTCCGGCACAGTCTGGAAGTAGCTGCCGCACCACGAGGAGGGGGCACACAAGAACAGGGTTGTAGAGACCGCACCACGATACACACGCGCGGGCGGCCCCAGCACTGCGTCGAAAGGCATAGCCACATAGCCACTGAGCATGTGAATGTTGGGTCTATTCCTGCTTGTGAGGCTATAGCACGCATCGAAAGCGAGCCACCGATGCGAACGATACGCTGGATGGAACAAGAGTGAAAAACGCCATTTCTCTTGAGTCAATCATGAACATACAACGGCGAGGGCACGGAAACACTCTAACTAGATCAACGTGAAGTAACGCCAGCACATGCATCGTCGACGGAAAGTGAAACATGTAGCGAACAAAACTGGAACCCGCCGCTAGCATCCCCGCCAGGTCCTAGCATGCACATACCCGACAAGCTCGTCCGTGCACAATGACCGGTCGCATCGATGAGTTCGCCGGGAGATCACCCCCCCCCCCCCCCCCCCCCCCCCCCCCCCCCCCCCCCCCCCCNCCCCCCCCCCCCGGCCCCTATATGCAAGCAAAGCATGAGTACTCCCCCCGCCCCACCCAAGCAAGCAAACGAGCACCGACAACGTTTGACGACGTACCTCAGCGGTCAGCATCGCAGACTCAAACAAAACACAACAGCGGACACACACACGGACACACCTGTTGTCGAACTTGAGCCAGTTCGGTGTCCAGGCGCTCCCTCCGGGCTTTCCGCAGCCGGGAGCACCCGCCCCTCTGGGGCACACGCCTTCCGCGGTGAACTTGGTGCACTCGGCTCCCTCACCGCTGCGGTCCTGGAAAAAAAAAAGGTGATGGGGCGAGGTTTATAGCGGGTGAGCGTTTAGTACTGGGCCTCCAACTTTCATACTTCGTGCATCCACACTGCCGTCTTGGTAACAACCACGATCCGCGGCGCTTCTAGAACTCACTGACTGTCAACCCTGTCGGACACCACGAAAAACTGCAACAAGATCAGACGGTGGTCCAACCCGCCGAGCAACCAGTGGCATGCACACAAACAACATGCAGCAACAGCAGCAGCAGCAGCAGCAGAAGAACGTAGAATACGATCACCTAGTCGTTGGAAAAAGCATCAAGGATGAGTACCAATACTTACCTTTTGGGCCCTTCCGAGGGTGTGGGCGCCGGATAGCGCTACGATGCCCTCGTCACCGAAGCCCATGCGATAGAACACGTTCCGGAGGTGGGCCTGCGCAGCAAAAAATAGGTCAAACGACAAGCGGGCAGCAGAAACTCACTCACAGCAACAAGCCAACCTCGATGGAATAACAGCAAGATTGGCAGACGCCTACAGAGTCATGCCAGCCACAGGGAGAGGAAGAGAAACACGCGCTGTTAAGAGTTTAGGAACGGAATATTCATCATTGGTTGCCTTTGTCGTTGGACCGTTGACCACATCCCCGTCTAGAGAGGCAGCACTGCCATCCTCCGGTTTGAGACTCTTAAAAGGCCGACTCAGCGCGTGTGGAATGTGTTTTCTACTCAAGCAGCACAACCAAATCGGCCATTCACATCCGCAGAAAGCCAATCGCTCACGCTAAAACCGCTATGGGTTCCGCGGAGTACCATTGAATGCATTCTCCACACACCGCCACCTCGTGCACCTGTCATGCCCAAAAAAGCGGCAACCGCTTCCTCGCAACTGCCTTGTGGGCAAAACAGAGGGTACCTGATAGGGGCGGAGGGAGGCGTAATCGCATGCGTTGCATGCCTTAGCGGTTAGACCATTGACCACGCGTCCTCGAGAGGACGGAGCATTGTTCCCACAGGACCGATCACCGATGGCCAATCGTTCCTTTCTACTTTGCCAAAGGTGGCTCGAAAATGCCTTCCCTAGTCTGTCTATCCTAACGAAATCCCTTCCCGCCTTTACAACCCACCTCCTATGCCCCAGTACAGCTACGGTCCTTTCCTCTCTATTCCATGCCTCAAACATCTCCCTGTATGTCCCATCTATTTCCCCCAGCTCAGTCACGTACACATCCCTCTCCTTCTTGTACAACGGACATTCCGCGACTACATGAACACGGTCTTCACATTCGAAGCCGCAATCACATTTGAATCCGTCGACTTCGTCGTCTACCGTCCTATGTCTTCGTTGAAGTTTTCGAAGGCCTATGTCCCCGGTCCTGAATTTGGCCTTAAGCTTTGTCCCTGCATCGATTGGTCCATGTAGGTAATCCTTGAACCCTTTCCTTCCTTGAACATTCCGTACACTTCTAGACCCTCCTTATCCTTGGTTTCTTCCTTTGGACTATGTTCTCTCACGGCACAAGCAACAGATATCTTCTCCTTGAACCCCTGTAGACCCTCCGTTTCCAGCGTTTCATCTTCGTCAATGTCGAGCCCCTTCCATACGTCCTCTACAACCTTGACCCATTCCGTGGGTTGTCTACACCTCTTGGTTTTTGCCCACTTCGCCTCCCAT